TGCAGTATCTGCATAATTATTATCAAAATGAGGAGTTTAAATTATCATGGGAAATGCGATTGCGGATTGCCATCGAAGTTGCTGGAGCACTTTCCTATCTACATTCGGCAGCATCCATTCCAATTTATCATCGTGACGTTAAGTCTACAAATATACTCTTGGATGAGAAATATAGAGCAAAAGTGTCAGACTTCGGGAGTTCAAGATCAATTGCAGTCGATCAAACTCACTTGACCACTGATGTGCAAGGGACGTTTGGTTATTTAGACCCAGAATACTTCCAATCTAGTCAATTTACAGACAAGAGTGATGTTTATAGCTTCGGAGTTGTCCTTGTCGAGCTCTTAAGCGGAAAAAAAGCGATTCTTTCATCAAGAAATTCACAAGAAACGAGAAGTTTAGCAACACGTTTTATTTTTTTGATGGAGGAGAACAGACTCTTTGATATTCTTGATGTTCAAGTTAAGGAGGGTTGCCTTGAAGAGGAAGCGATGGCTGTAGCTAATCTTGCAAAACGATGCTTGAATACGAGCCGCAAAAATAGACCAGCAATGAAAGAGGTCTCAGCAGAGTTGGAGAGGATTGGGTTGCTGCTGAGAAATTCAAATGTTCAACACAATAAAGAAGAGACTGATCAGAACACCGGGGTTGGAGTTATATGCAACTGGGATACAGTTCCTATCTCAACTACCTGTGATTTTGATAAAGACAGAGTTCAATCAACAGATGCCGAACCATTGATTACTCACAACACCTTATGAACAAGATGTATGTCAAAATTTGGGCCTGCCAGGCAGGATGATCTGATTGCTTGGTTCCGGCGTTTCCTTTGCTTTCATAAGACCCACAGTCTAACTCGGTCGCTTTTGGTTGATTACTCTCGGGCTATTCAGGCATGAGGGATTTATTCTGGCTGGACAAGTTATACTTCCCCTCATCCTTCCTTGCAGGATGATCTGATTGCTGTGGCTTTTGTTTCTATTTTGGAATTTTTTTTTTTCAGGAAACTATTTCTAAGTTTTTTTTTTGGTAGCCTATTTTTCATAGAGGACGTTTGTTTGTGATTGTATGCTATGACTTGTTCTTATTTATTAATCAATCATCGTTTTTCATCCCCCTCCTCTTGCAAGTATGCTAAATAATTTCTCCATGATTGTTCCAAGCTAGAATTTGGATTTCTTTATTAGTGTGGCAGGCGTTTTGGTTTTGGTCTCTATTGGCTTCCGTAGAGGAATTTGTGAACGGAAATACTCTTATCATTAGTAAACTGAAACAAAACAGTTTAGAATTCATTTTGATTAAAACTACATAGAATTCTGAGCAAATTTTGATACATGACTGGCCATAAATGATTTTTATCCATTTGAGAAAGGAGAAGGTCAGCATTTTGGGTAACTAATAGGAGGTTAAATATGTTAAAGAAAATTTTCAGGGAGGAAAGAGGACAAACTTTTAAATTCTGGGACCGAAATGAACTTTTTCGGGGAGGAAAGAGATCGAATTCGTAGATCTGTCCTTGAGTACTAATACGTAAATCAACACAAGGCATGCTTGTGCTTTCAGCGAATATGGTCAGAAGAGTAGGTTGCAGCAAGCGTACATATTAGTACACCGACATTCGATGACAAGTTTTTTAATTTTTTTTGTTTTCTGTGCCATTGTTATGAATTAGCCAAATGACAGTAGAAATTAAGCTGTGAAGGGAAAAAACTCCATATAATTTCATCAATTAGATTTCTTTTCTTTAGTTTTCTTTTATTTTCATCTTTTTGAAGATTCAGACGTAAAAAGTATTAAACTACACAAATGTGTTCTCTATTTTTAGAGCGAACAAATTAAACTGCCTTTAGGTTTTAGCTGTCTAATTTTACTTAAGACACTCGAATTCTCAATTTTATTAATCTTTTTAAGTCATCATCGTCAACTTATCAAGAATTTCGATCTTTAATTGAATTTCATAAGGTCAACAAAAAAATGTTTAATTTTTAAATCTTTGCTGCATCATCATCATGAATTGGTCATCAGTTGATTCGGTACTAAGGCTGCTTTACAATACGATACTCTGCAATGGTGAGAAAGTTAGACATTTTATGACAGTTAATTCCAGGAGATTTAAAGATTTTCCCCATTTAAAAAATCGATGCCGGGCTCCCCAGGGGAAAGGGCTGAATAAGTCTTTCAAGTTCCTCTTGATCAGTTTGGTTAATTAATTTATTGATGGAATTAATGTTAAACTGATAATTATTAACTTATAAGGTTATTATCATGCGTATCAGATATCACCGAAAAGACCCAAACTGAATATTTGCCTCCTCAGAACTATTGACAAATTCAGCCTAGAAGTTAAGTGTAATTCACTGTCGGAAGCTGCTTGGAAAGTTATTTACTATACTGTGATGCTTTCTTTCTTTAGTAGTCTTTTTTTTTATAGATAAATTACAATAATCCCCGAGATATCTTGAATTATAAAGACTGTCCATCCATAACAGTCTATAAAATTCTCTGTATTATTGAATAAGATATGTCTTAAAAATATTAAGGATGTTTTAGATCGATGAAAATTTTTGTAATATTTTTTTAAATATAAAAAGTTGTATGTCAAAGTCTTTAACTTTTGAATAATTATCTGAATAATTTCATAATATTTGAGAAGGTTTGTTGTAATTATCTATAGTTTTTATTTTATTTTTTGTTATTTCTTTTGAGGTAGTTAGTGTCTACCCTTAAGATTGCAGTCAAATTGTCTAAAGTTATTAAATATTTCTAAGTTGAATAATTAAAAATTTGTTCGAAGCTTGTATCTATGTTGTCAATCTTTTTTAATTCTTTTTCAAGGGGATCAGCTGATTGTGTATTTGAAGTTTAGTTGGACGCTTCACAGAAACTTCTCCAAGATATCCTTTTCTTTTATTGATATTAATGAACTTCTCTGATATCTAATTGCACTTGACTATATATTTACGGATCACAAGGAAGATATTATTTCCGGTCTAACCTTTTTTGAGTTAATTTGTTGTATGTTGTTCAACTCAAGAGGAAGTATACCCTCTTATTAATGTCCAATTATAATTTTTTTTTCCCCACTGAATTTGGACTAGCCTATGCGGTGGTACTAGGTCCTTCTTAGATCTTATATATTCTATTCTTAATTCTTTTTCTGAATTTCAACTTAAAAACTCCAAATTGAAATTTCATCTAATTTACAAAAACAGATATAATTTAACGGTTGTATATGTAGAAGTTTCTTTTAGTTAACCAATTTTAAGTTATAATAATTTTAATTTATTTGATTACTATACAATGAAAAAGACTATCTATCATTATATAGTCTAAAACCCACAAACCTTTCGATGAATTAAAAAAAAAATAATCTCGAACCATTTCAACATGTTAATCACAAATTAACTAGTGCTTCAAGCAAATGATCATTAGCTCTAATATTATTTATCGCGCAAGTTCATCAGAAATAATTAAAGTCTTCACCAAAATTTAGTATAATCTCCTTTGGGACTCCAAACTCCCACTCCAAAATTTTATTTAAAAAATTCAAGGAGTAGGTTATATAAATAAATAAATAAATAACATAAACATACCGAGTTAATCACTGCAAACACCCATGGAGGTTTTTACGAGCCCCGTGAATATTTTTTATATATTTTCTGATTTTGATTCCTAATCTATATGGTGTTTTGATTGAAACCATTTCAGTCAGATCTTCTATTTTTATTCATTACGCAACATATTTCAAATTTTATATATAAAAAGAATCATTAAAAAAATTGTTAAGAAAACAACATATGCTTCTATGAGGATGACGATTTATGTAAGGGAAAAAAAAAAAAAAAAACAAATGAGCACAAACAGACGCAGTCAATAATAGATCAAAATTTTGAATATAATTACAAGGGTGCTATTGTGTGTCTTCATGACATATATATATATACAGAAAGGGCCTCCAAATTTTATATATATGATAAAATATCATCAACAAATTGTCCCATAAATCATGATCAAAATATCATCAACAAATTACCCACTGAATTTTTATGATATTTTTGAATGGCTTTTGTTGTTTTTTTCCCCCTTAAAAAAACACAAACTTTTTTATACAAATAGAAAAAGAATTAAAATACTCAATATATGATAAAATATCATCAACAGATTGTCCTATAAATCATGATCAAAATATCATCAACAAATTACCCCCTGAATTTTTATGATATTTTTGAATGGTTTTTGTTGTTTTTTCCCCCTTTAAAAAACACAAACTTTTTTTTTTTATACAAATTGAAAAATAATTAAAATACTCAACTAGGAATTCGATACAAATTTCAAGGCTAACTTATATATATATATAACTTTAATAAACTTCTCATGTCAAATTTTTTCACCTTTTACTTTACAGTAATACTTTACCCGACTGTTAATTTTCCATTGATAGCTGCTGTGTGATAGTCTAGCATGAGAGATACTCTATTAATCCTAATCCATTTATTATTTTCATCTTTCTACCTTCTCACAAAGTCCTGTTAGGTATATTGCTTACAGTTAAAATTATATATATATATATATATATATATATATGCTTCTCGCTTACATAATTACCCATGTAAAAGTTCTAATCCAGACAATTGAATCCACTTGTCGCCCTTCTGCGTTGAATTAGTAAGCCTAGAGCTTGCCGAGAAACTTCATCTTCCCTCCCTATAAAAGCTTGAACAAACTCAACTATGTTGAACTCAGAAACAATAACACTAAGGAAAAGTAACAATGGCAATCAAATATTTCTCGTCTCCAATCATTCTCTTACTGTTGCCCACATTATTTCAGTTAGCAACTGCAGCTGCACCTATCGCAAAGCCCGGTTGTCAAGACCACTGTGGGAACATCAGCATTCCATACCCCTTCGGAATGACAAAAGATTGCTACCAGGATGAATCATTCGAGATTGTTTGTAACGAAACAGTCAATCCTCCTAGGGTTTTCATAAAAAAATCAACATGGAGGTTCTGATTATTGAACATGGTGCTGCCACTGTCAAAGGTCCAGTTATGTTCTCCAATTGTTCCGATAGTCAATCCGGTCTACCTGTGAACTTGACAGGAAGTCCTTTCTTTTTCTCCTTCGGTAATCTGTTCACCGCAGTCGGCTGCAACATCCGTGCTCTGTTGACAGAGATTGGGCCTCAAGTCATTGGATGCGACTCAACATGCGGTCCTTACTATAATCAAACAAGCATTATTTATGGGCAACAAATTAATCGGCTCTGTTCTGGTAAGAACTGCTGCGTAGCCAGAACGCCTTATCGGACGCAGGTTTTTTATCCAAGTTTAGAAACTAAAAATGAGAGTCAAGACAGCAGTGGATGCAAGCTTACTTTCCTCGCAGACCAAAACTGGGTTGCAGTCACAAATATAAACAATCCGCAAGTGTTTCAGGGTCGGGAATATGTTCCGCTGGTGCTGGCTTGGGTGATGGATTACAAGATTTGGAAATATGATCCGAAGACCATGAATTGCAAATATTTCCTGCTTGAGAACTCTCTGACTTTGGCATATGAATGTTCTTGCCGTATGGGCTATGAGGGCAACCCTTACCTGGGATGTCAAGTTAACAGCGCTTAACAAAAGACTACATGCATGTTGCTAGTTGGCTGTAAACTAGCTTCTCTTTTAGCTCTCGGAATAATAGTTACTTTTTCTGAATAATTTCTGAAACCATTTTTCTGGTTTATCAGGAAAATATTATATGGGCTCTTCTATACTAATGGATCTTCTTCACCCGTATGGATTCCAGTATTTTTTTTTTCCTCCTTCGTCCGCCTTCCCGTCTCCTTCTCGTTAAGAAATTATTGTATGGATTTAAGGACTTAACCAGTTACATTACAGGTGTCCACACTGGGAAGTTATTTACAAGAATATTAATAAAAAAAAATTGATTACAAAATTAAATAATTAAATCTAATACATATAAAATACGCAAATAACATTGGTAAAGGTTAAGTTTTCGTTATATATATATATATATATATATATATATATATGTTGAATTTATCCTTCTTTGAACTCATTCTATTTTTCAATTTGATCATGAGTATATATATATATATATATATTTTTTTTTCAATTTTTTCCGATAAGATGATTTAAATAACTGAAGTTGAACAATTAATTCGAATTCTCTACTCTTCCATCACTCACAATCACCACCATAGCATGAGCTGCTTTAAACCATTAACATCTTGAAACAAAAATCAAGCACCACCATCTTAGAATTAATTTTTTTTTTCCAAAGAATTAGACGGCATTGCAGACCCTAGCTAACCATCGCCATGCAACCCAACTTCAGCGCCCGTTTTGCAAAATGGGAAGGCCTTTTTTTAAAAAAAAAGCATCGAAAGCTCTTTTTTTCTTTTCTTTTTTCCCTTCTCAAAAACCAATAAAAAAAAAAGCGTTTGGTAAAATTATAAAAACAGTTTTGAAAGTTAGAAGTCTAGAAATTACAAAATAAAAATTTAATCTCATATATAATGAATGCCCCATTCAACCTTGCAATTTATTTTTCAGAGTTAGCCAAATGATTTGAACTTCAAAATTTGGACCGTAAGAAGTTTTAAGATTTTATTATTATATTAAATTTGATAGTTGAATTTAATTAGATTTTATTCAAAAAGCTTGGATAACTTATTCAATATCTTTTATATTAATTTATATTTTTTTATTTATTCAATGAACATAGATAAATTGACTAATAAGTTTTATATAACACTATAGTATTTTAACAACATATATTATCAAATAAACTTTTACAATTATGCTAGTTCACAACTATACCAACAATCATAACAAAAACCACAGTTATCTTAAATTGACCACAGGTCCCCCGTGCTTCAATCGAGAGTCAACCATCAATATAACTAAATCATCCAAAAACCTAACTAAGCTATCATGCAATTAAACCCATTACAAAACTGCACATCACAAATACTCATTCACAGGTCCATTTAGAGATGAAAAAATGACCTGCTTTGATGGGTCTAGAAAAAATCCTATCCGATATGGACGGATATAGATGGCATTTTTCTCTCGATAAGTAAATGGAGATGGAAGCAGGGAAATAGCTCCCGTCTTGTGAGAAATCCAAACCTAATTATACATATTCATATATATTATTTTTATCTTTCATCATGTATATGCAAAATTAATATTTTAAAATAAATATATTATTTTAACAAAATCAATCATTAAACTGCCAAAATGAAACCTTAAACCTAAATATCTATAAACATGAACAACTCTAAAATAATATACCTCATCCAAACATTAGATAGGAGCCCTGTTGGAATAGTTGCTTTTTGTGTATTTTTTTTAAGCTCAAATTTGTGTTTTTTTGTCATCTTTTTGTTCTTTCATTTCTTTCCATCGAAGATGAAAAGTTTTACCTTTTATATATATAATCAATTCACTAATTTTCCCTTTGTTTATTTATATTATAGTTTCTTTTAATGTAAACTAATCATTCTCTTCATTAAGTTCCTTTTTTTTTTTTAGTTTGAGTTAGCTCTTTTCATCATTTTAAATAAGATTGTAAACATGACAGAGATATCGCTCTTTACTCGTTATGTTAGGGCGAATGAATTTTGGGTGTGGACACCAATTTCATACCTTGCTCGCATACCCGCTAAAAATACATAAAGTACCTAGTTATACAGAATTTTTAATATGGGGACTAAAATGTTTAAAATATGAAGATTAAATAACTTTTAATTAAGGGTTTAAATGTAAAAATTGTTATATATGGACCAAATTATTTTTTAAAAAAATTTATAGACTATAATATGAACATAACCGAGTTGATAATATTAGGGTACGGATTGGTTATCTCCTAGGTTACGATATATGGGCCAGGTATGGGCATAAAGTGCTTTAGTGGGCAGAAAGTTTGATGAGTCGGATACCCTACTTGGGCCATCTTACACTTAGACCATGGGGAATCATCTTACTGAATCCGTTGTGAAATTCCACCCAGCTCTTTCATGGCCACTGACATTTATTTTGGATTTCTATATATGGTATTCATAGTTGATTGATAGAATCATCAATATCCCTTAAATAAATGTTGTGGGGTTAATACTATATTTGGTTTTTGTAAATATGACATTTCTATTTTCTTTTTATTTAATGGATCTCTCTATTCACAGAAAATTTTAATATATATGGTCATTTCATTCAATTTATTATTATTAGCTCTGGACAACATATCAAAATAAGTAAATATATATCTAACATATGTCAAGGATTGACGATGTATTGAACAAAATTGAAACTAGAGAGACTCTATTAAGAAATTTTATTTAATGAAATAAGCAATTAAATTTTTTAAAAAATCACGTTAAGAAAATATAAAAAATACAAAAGTCAAATATATGAGGAATCAAATGTTGTGAGTTTATCTATTTAGAGTGTTGTATTGTTGAATCTTTAGAATTGATTTATATTATCATCTAAGATTCAAATTTTAGAGAGTTAGAAGTAAATATTTTCTTATTTAATTAATGCATAAATAAAGTTTAGACGATCTATTTAAGATTTGGAGTGCCGCACCAAAATGCCAGAAAGTTGACCCACTTTGCTTTTGTAGACTGTTCCTTTTTCTTTCCAACTTCAAGGTTTCTCTTTTTCTAAGGGACCTTCCATGGAAACACTCATATATCTTCAATAATTATGGGTCCATATCAAACACTTTAATTATTAAAAGAATTGCCTTTCTACTTTTTTTTTTTTCTTTCTTTCTTATCTCTGCCTTCTCCAATATGTCTTCCGGTTCACATCTATATTATACTTAAACTTGATAGCTCATATCCATCAGTTTTATTTAAATTTCTTTTTTCAGTCTATTGGCAGATTGGTCATTGTACTTGGACTTCACTATGGGATTGAAACTCTGATCGTCTCCTAATTCTCTATCCTGATCACATCTATTTTGATTAAGATTTAAACGTGGAACATCTTTGGTTGAAAATTTCCAAAGTATACCTCTATATGGGTTGAAATTTTTCATAATTGAAGGTAGTAGAGCCTTCAACAGGTGTGATTCACCTTCCTGGCATTTTCTTACTTTAGCCTTAGTAGTATCATAATCGCAGATTAAATACATTTCTTCAATTGATCCAGACCCAAACAAAACAAAAGTAAAATATTCATAAATTGTACCGTGTAGGGTCTGAGAATTTTAATTTTTTTCTTTCTTTATTGTAAAATTTTTATTCTATCTTAATAGGAAAACTATATATCTAATAATATTTGTTAAGAGTAAATTTCTAACAACATTGTGTTTTGGAGGCAATTTCACTTTACGACCTATCATTTCAAGATTCCCATTTTTCATCATCTAGAAAGATTGAATCCGTCAAGAACTCCCATTATTATGTTTGAAAATACCCAAAATGTATTGCTTTTACATGAGTGATTGCACACCCACCTATTGTCACTAACTATGCGATGATGCTTCTCTCGCTTTCTTTTTTCTTTTATGTTCAATGCTGTTTCATTAGATTATACTCTTTTGTTTTTATTTCTTTCATCTATTTAGCAGTTAGCAATAAAGAAAAGTTTTATATCACATTTGGACCTATAAAAATATAACTACGTCATCTTTGTGTCTATTACCTCTTAAGTAATCTGCGTGTATATATGTTATATGGAATAAGTATTAGTAGTTGTTTTTAGAGTAATATAAACTTTTTTTCTGTGAAGAACGAATAACATAGCACAAGCTGCCAGAAATTAAATAATATTTCTAATGATAATTTCAATTTAACTTCTTGCTGTCTTACAGAAACATAACAAATAGCAATTGCCCCCTTAATAATTTCCACAATTTCATAACAGTCCACAATAATTTAGGGATTTTGAATTTGCCTTTCTTTTTTTTTTTTTGCTAGACATTTGCCTCCTGTAGTTTTTTAAACTTTCATATTACTCCATGACACATCTATTGAAGAGTGATTTATTTAGAATGATTAGATGAGACAATCATTTAAATGGACTATTTTATGTTTTACAATTCAATTTTAATGTAATAATTTTGTTTAAATCCAATATTATATAATAAATTACTACTGTGTGTAATATTATCTATCGAAATATTATCTTTATTTTTGTCTACCTTAACTACAAATTCTAACTCTGCCTCTTTCTGAAATTATGAGAGCCAAGAAAACTAGAATCCTTTAATGTTCATAATAAATAACTATAGAAATAATGAAACCAAGAAGATAAATATTAATACTAAAATTTGAAACGTGCCTGTAAGAATCCTAATGAGATCCATGCGCTGAATCACCAAATGGTTAGAAATGGACCTTAGAAGTTGATCTTGATGACCTCGAAAATGAATTCTAATCATTTTAAATCAACTTTTCGTTGATATCAAATCAGTTAGGGTCATTTGATGCTAATTAGCTACCTACCGAGAACCTTGGGGCGACTTCTTGGACTGCTTTTATTTGTCTACATTGTCCTGGCTACTTGTCCTCTATCAACCTCATTGCATTGCCTATCAAGCAACTCGATCCATAAATATATCCTGTCTATCTCTTGTTGCAGCCAAGAAATTGTGGCAA